AAGCCCAATGAATAAACGTATATACATATATGTAACAAACGTGTAAATATTAAACAGGGGCCATTCCAAAGTGACAGGTGGGACATTTTGTTTCTTTTTTTCTTGAACTTTAAATAATTTCTCTCAAACCATTGGTCAATTAGACTTAACACGAAAATATCATGAAGCCAGATACGCAATTCAACTGCGACTATTTATTTACATAAATTTATGACAATAGTTATACTCAAAACTTTTGATTTTCTAAGTGTGACGGGTGGGACACTCACGACACCCGCCTGTTTGAGTTGATGGCTACATTGCCAAGATCAAGACAAACTATTAATATTTTGTACAGCAAGTTTTTCATATGAGATAACTTGAATGTTTTTTTTTAAGTTCTATTTTATATATACACTTAATTAATAACTTTGATAAATTTTAAGGAAATTAATATGTTACGTTGTGACGGGTGGGACATGATTTTATGACGGGTGAGACGAGTTACGATTGAATACACAGAATTAATAAAATTAAACTGTTTAATATGAGATCCATCGTTAATCACCAAATATTTTATAATTTTTGTATTAATAAGACATTTTAACATAATAAAAAAACAGAATTAAAGAACTGACAAAGTAATCATAATATTTTCTGGAAAAACTATCAAAGTCACGCATGTAAAATGCGTTAATAAATTTGAAAAATCCTGCCGCATCCTTGAAGATTATGCAGCATATCAAAATATATGAAATTATAGAAGTTTTGCTCGAATATATAGTTAAAACTAGTGGAAACAGACTTTTCATGAATTTCCTGATACTAAAATTCATCAGGAAAAATGTTGTCACTTTTTAATTGTCTTTGTTTATGAGTTAAATCATCTTGATTATAAGAAGAATTATAAAAAATTTGCTTAGAAATGATGGATCTACATATATGTTTATATGGAGATCCATAATTTGTAAGTGTCTTAAAATTCTATGTATTATAAATAACTTGTCCCATCTGTCCCAAAATGGTGTCCCAATCGTCACAATGTAACACATCAAATGTTAAACTCCGAAATTAAAGCAACTGTTACACGTAGTAAACATAAAATACAAACATTTATTCAAAATAAAAACGTTTAGAAATGTGTCCCACCCATCGCTGTGACGGGTGGGACACACTTAATATTTACATTCCTATTTACGTGCACAATGCCCACCCAACCAAGCCAAAATAATGACCCTTAGCATAATTGTTACTTTTACAAAAGCAAATGCCAATAGATTGCATATTTATTGTTTAAAATAAAAATATATATGTTTTATTGTGACGGGTGGGACTTGAAATTAGTATTTATTAAAACTTTAATAACTCCTCACCATATATACTTCCATGCAATCACTTTTTTAGAAAGTCGCATAAATAACCGCGAAAATTGTTGCTAACAGTATGGACAAAATGCTTCATTATAGACGACAGCACTATGGCAGCGTTAATGAAGACAAAAAATACAATAATTGTACAATATCTGAAAAACCTCATTTATAGACATAAATGAGGTTTTTGATGAATTGATTTGATTTATTGGGCGTATTTTAGTCATACAATTAAAACCAAATTGTGTAAATTGTTTTTTGAACCGCAGTGACATTTTCGCTGGAATGACACCCATTAAGTGGGGTCGTCAAAATATTATCATTGTTATTAAAAAAAAAGCGTAAAAGAATTGCAAGATACATGAATGGATTACATTATCTGATAGCCCAATCAATACTGAAGACTGTATCGTTGACAAATTTCTTGCAAATTTGTTTTTAATGTATAAGCCTATTTTTAAAATAATTTAAATTAAAGAAACATGCTCGGCCTGAAAAAAATTCATATAGTATGGAGTAACAGTACAAAAATATAATTACTGCCTCCGTGGCTGAACGGTTACCATACTGAACTGCCACACAGAGGTCCCAGGTTCGAATCCCGGGCTGAGAGAAGTATTTGTACGGCCTACATTTCTTTCTCTCGTGAGTTTGGGTGTAATTTGAGTTGTCTAAGTGTGTGTCCATGGCACCAGCGACACAAGGTTTCCCTAGTGCGGGGCAATGTTGAGTGTGTGCATTATTTATTATTATTATAATGGTTGCAGTGATGAGGGACTGCATAGGTCCGAATGTAGCCACCCTAATAATAATAATAATAATAACTGTATATAAGGAACTGAGCCTACTGACCCGCAAAATGTATCAGAAATGTGGACAATAAATATGAAATATCAGCACTGCTGATAACCTTCGCCGGCTGGCTAGTGGAGTGAATACTAAACACCCCATAATTGTACAGGTGATGTCTGTGTGATATTTTAAAAAAATCTATTTTTTTATGATGTCAAGTGATATTTTTTGTAATTTTTGGTAAGGGACACTCCTGTCCATATCAGTTACAGTGCCACTCAGAGCTTTAAATCGTAAAGATATGAGGGGCACCCTGAGACATAAGCTGTCAAATCCCATGAGCCTGTAATTTCACCAGCACCCATCCAAACCGGAACACAGTAATGCTCAGATTACTGCTTGGCAGCAGAAATAGGTAAATAAGCAATACTTCCTGAATGATGATGAACCTACGAAATATTGGGCAATTAAAGCTTCAAATATAATTTTTTTTATCAGACCCTTTTCAGTTATAATATTAAATAATAATAATTTTATTATTTCCAGTAATTTTGTTTTTAGTGCCAATTCCAAAGTTCACATTAATGGAGGTTAGAGGTTTACGAACATAGACAACGATATGCTATCTTCACATGGTGATTGTTGTCCAAATATATCAAATAAACAAATACAAATAGCCATGTGAAATGCTACCATAACTCAGTTACCTAAACTTCAAGGATTCAATACACATTATAATCAAGGTTGGCATGATTAAATAATTTTGATTTAAACCATGATTTAAATCGTGATTTTTCCAATAAAAATCAGTTTAATTTTATTTTCTTTCACAGAAATCAATATGAAATCAGACAATTACATTTTAAAGGCTGACCCTAGCCTATAAAGGCTAGGGTCTTTTACATCTGAGAAATCAATATCATTATTATAATACTTAAACTACAAAAAAACTAGCTTGCCAGCCTTTTCAATTCCCAGTCGGTTTCTTAATTTACTATGAACAATTCCAAAGGTGGAAAACACTCTTTCCACAGCAGCTGAAGGAGCTATCGCTCCAAGCAATTGCTTTAACCATTGGAAAAATCTTTGACTGTTCCTCTTCACTACATATATTTTTCTGTCACATCTGCCACTCTAGTGGTGTCACATTTTTTACTTTTATTTATTTTTATCTACCATATGATTAATTAACCTTTTACATTATTACGTTTTACGCAAAAGTATAGTTAAACTATATGATAAAATGAAAAAATAAAAAAATCGTGATTAAATAGGATTTAAAAAAAAATCGTGCTTTATTGGATTTGTTTTAAAAAAATCATGATTTTTCCAACCCTGATTGTAATAGAACGGCGGAAGGAAATAATACCTCCCTCTGAATTCCAGCCACTATTCACATATTTTTCTATTGTTAATGTGTAAGCAATAACTTTACATCGTGTATTTAAACGTTTTGAAATTGTAAGAAAAAATATTACTTTTTACAAACATTTTATTTTTAAAAAGTCTAAATTTTATATTGAATTGTAAGGCTTTTACAATTCAATGCATTACTTTCTCAAACTCGTATGTTACAAAGAGTGATTATTCAGGAGACAGAAAAACTTTCTATTTATTTTAAATTTCTTATCAAGGGTGTTTAATTTGGATGCATTACTTTAAGAATAGGCAAAAGCCAGTGTGTGAATATGAAGTAAATGTATATGAAGGAGCTCTGAAATCAGCATGCAAAATTTGTATATACAATCTGTGAGTCAGCTGTGGACACAGCACCTGTAAAGGGCCTGAAACATTGGTTTGTTTAAAAAACAAATATAATGCGATTTAGACACATAAAATATCTTAATTCCCATCCTGGAATTTCAGAGGGAGGTAAGATGCACTCTATAAATATATTACATAAGTTTAAGTAAATACACTGGGATCACTTTTAAAACCGATTATTATTTGTTATACTCAATAGTTCTAGTGACTGTCCTTTTCTGGTCCAGACACAGGTGTATTATTATTATTATTGTAACTACCATTGTAGTTAGTGTTAACTGCTGGTGATAATAAACATTTTTTAGTTAAATTTATTGGAGACCAAATGTGTGCTATAACTTAACTGCCTCTGTGGCCGAATGGTTACCATGCTAGACTGCCATGCAGAGGTCCTGGGTTTGATCCCCGGGCCTGGAGAAATATTTGTATGTTCTTCATTTATTTCCATCGTGAGAATGGGTTACTTTGCGGTTGTCTATGTATGTGTTCATGGCACCCGCGATACAAGGTTTCCCCAGTGCGGGGCTATATTGAGTGTGTGCATTATTTATTCTTATTATAATGGTTGCAGTGATGAGGGATCACATAAGTCCTGAATGTAGCCACCCTAATAATAATAATAACTGTATGAAAGGAACCAAACCTACCAAGCCGCAAAATGAATCAGAAATGTGGACAATAAATATGAAATATCAGCACTGCTGATAGTCTTCGCTGAATTATTATGTTATTATATTATTAATTTCAGTTTGAAATGTAGGCAGTATTTAAACTTTTTTTTCTGCATAACATCCATATAATACATTACCAAAGTACTTACGTAAGTTTGTACGAGTTGTTTGAACTTGGAGTCTCTGTAGCTACAAGTTCAGTTTTCAATGGAGCCAAAGTTAAGAACAAACTGCTTGAAATCTGTTCTGGTCTGTGTAATCTGGACTGTCTTCTGGAGTCAAATACGTTGATCTGGTACTCATAGAGCAGGGAATTCCCTAACTTAAGACTCGGTAGTTGCTCTAATCGCCTAGCACGTTTAATTATTTATTTTTATTTGTGAATGAGAAATTTTTTGGCTTTTTGCCAATAATGAACACTTACCATCTTGCCAAGGGTTGGCGGGCTCGAAGTACTGGGTCACTATGTGCTCATCATCAGGGAAGGCAACTTTCCTTTGAGGTTTCTGCTTCTTTTTTTCACAAATTTCATCAAAGCAAGTATCGCTTTGTTCTTGCCCCACATCTCCGGTTTTCACTGCTTTTTCACTCGCACATGCCGTATCTTTATCATCGGTAGACATCGCGTAACACACAGTCACATAACAAAATGTTATACGAATTCATTTAGTACACAAGATGGTTTAAAAAATTTTAACACAAAAATGATCTAAGGTATTTTAATTCACACAGCACACGCGACGGGCACACGCAAATACGCACAATCAACACAACAAATTCGATAATACGCCGGCCATTACGTATTTTTTTCGATTTTCGTTGCTTTTTTTACTATTTGTATTGTTCGTTTCAAATCAAAACATTCTATGTCTTTCATACACCGTTTACCGCCATATTGGATTGAATGAGACAAAAGGAAAGTTCCGAAAAATCGCCGCGAGGGGTCGTTTTACAGTGTTGCAATTTTAAATAAATGTTGCATCCAAAGCCTCCCATGCATTCATTTATGTGAACGCGTCATCTCTTATCAAATAGCAAAACTATTACAAATTTAGTACGTTGTTATACGAAGAGATGTCGTTACTAGGCATTTAAAAGTTTGACAATATCGCCCTTCCCGCCGAATAATATAGTGATGTGCTGATGTGGTAGTTTTCATTTTATTGCATATCCATATATACTAAATCTATGTGCATATCCGATGTTTAGAGCGTTAATTAGACCTTGTAACTTTTTTTGTAATGTTTCTATGGATATTTATAAAAGTACATTAATTTCATTGGCCCCGTAATGAACATAATATTATTCCCTAAATCTTTAACACCCTTTTTACACGAATAATACCATAACAAGTTAGTACAGATTATGCAATAGTTTTTTATTCCGTAAGTGATGATATCCATTAAATTCGCGTAAGAAACACTTTAAAACATTTTTGACACCATATTTCAATGAATAATACGGTAATGCATTAATACTGACTACGAAATCGTTGGATTTACACGCAAATAATATGGTAATGATGCGTCGCATATTATACTTTTGCAGGAATTTCAGTAATATTATTTTCATCAATAACTTTATTTAGTAAAACTGATACAAAAATAACATAAAAGAAAATAAACTGTGAAAAAATTTTCTTTGTTTTGACATAAAAATAACTATCCTGGGATGCATCCGAGCTGAGATATTAAAAAAAAATCGTTTTCTATTTTTCCTGCAAAATTTAGAATTATCGGTTACCATATTATTCGCTGGGGAGTGCGATATCTTTTTTATCCTTCAAATTTTTTTTTTGTATGGAGAAATATATTTTATTTTTTATCTCAAAATATAAGAAAATGTAATCTGCGTGGATTACTTACCAGTATAATTCCAATCATTCTCTATGTAGAAAAAATAATCTGTTTGCATGTATGTACTTGCTAGCTTTACAAAAGGTGAACGAAAAAATAAAATGTATGTATTTCTCCCTCAGATTACAATCTAAGATTTCTCTATACAAATAAAAATCTAATTTTTTCTCCGAAATTATCACTAGTAATTGAACAACTAGGTACCTAATTTTTACTCCTAATTAATTCAACGATGCACTTTTTATCCCCCCGCCTAAGGCTATATTGACGTATTTTTAGAGCATGAGAAGTGAAAAAAAATAAAAAACACTATTAAAAACAAGACTTATAATTGTTAAACATGAATATAGAAAATAATAAACATTTTCCATATTATCACTTTTATAAAATAAAGCCTTCTCACTTTAATCTTTACATGACGCAACATTTATTTTTTAAACAAATACTTCTTTTTCCGGAAACATATTGAACCTTTGACGGGGCTAGAATGTCACTGACCTTGGGATCTTCGACAGTTGGTGTTAATCGCTGGTCGCTTTACGCGTGCCCTGATTTCAGGGGGTCTTCACGCTGCTCGCTCTGGTCGCCCGCAGTCACACGGACAACTGCTATTGTATTATGATATAATATTGACACTGTATCAGTGGTGGATTTGCAGTCTTGGGCGCCCTGATCAGATCATGTAGTAGCACTCATATACTTACTGGTTAGACTTATCTATATCTTATAAATAAAATATATGAAAGTGATATAGGAAGATTATTGTTTGTGATTATTGTGCCATAATGTGCGTGAGTCATTGAAATATTTAGATACTTTGAGTTACTTCTTGTCATCAACAGTGAATATTTTGTCACGATTGGCCGCCCTCGGCCCGGACCTAGGGTGGCCTTAGGGCAAATCCGCCACTACACGGTGTAGTTGCAACACAAACTTTCAAACTAGGGACTCTTCATCATTAGTGCAGTCGCGAAGAAGCCTACGTACTAAAACCTGACAACATTAAATATCGGAAAGTTTTAAATTACAACAACAACAACAAGTGAACAAGCCTACTGTTTTATTGTTTTGCGAGTCGTTTGAGCGACTGGAATGTATTTTTCCTGGGTTTAGTGCGGGTTTACCTTAATTTTATAATCTTGTGTTTATGGAATGCTCTTCAGTTTCTTAAATCAGCAGCTCTACTATCTACATAGCCCTCATTGCATCTTAAATTCGATGCTCTTGCGTATTTTCGGATTGTATCCGAATTTTGGTTTTTTTACATCGTATCTTGGAACATTTATTACCATGTCCGAATATTGACCATATTTCCGTATTATTGACGGTTTTGATTTGACACGCCTTTTTTGTCGTTTCGCAGACGTTTTGAAATCATTAATTCCATTCGCCACTTCTTGATTTGATTCGTGTCCTGAGTGCTTAATTTTTGTAGTGGATTTTAGTTTTGTTCGCATGTTAACATTTGCATTCGACTTTTTTGTACACGATTTTAGATCATATCTAGAATTTGGTGTTGGCATTGAATTCTGTTTGATGTTCACCAAATTTGTCGACGGAAAACAATCGAATCTTGATTTCTTAAATTCTGTTGAATTGTTTTTGGTATTTGAATTTTTGGCAGATGCATTTGGTTTATTAGAGGAATTCAATAATTTTGTATCCGGATTGTTCATCGGTATATTCACTTTTTTAGATTGAGGTGAGTTTGTTGATATATTCGAATCGACCCTTAAATCGAGGCACTGTGCAGAAATTTCTGAATTACTTCTCAAGCAATCGATTTCATTGACTTTCAAATCGACGTTGCTATGGTGTATTAAATGAAGAAGTAGATTAGCTCTATTAGATGCACGTTCTTTTAGCGCAAGAACCTTTTCAGTTTCCTTACAATCTAAACTAGGGTCTATGATTGCTGGTATTGTCTGACGTGATTTAAATGAATCTCCAATGTCATATTTAGCATTATTCCTATAATATTCTTCCCTACATCGGTTTTTGTTATTGCTTATTTCATATTTCTTCTTATTGAATTTCCTTGTACAAGAAATACCAGTTATAGCTCTATTTTTCTTAATTTTATTATTAGTTTTGTAAGAACCTTGTATATCATTTTGGTTTCTTCTTATGGAAGCTTTTGTCTTCATGTAACATGTTTTCGTTCTAAGTGAACGTATGAAATGTTTATTTTTGTGTTCTTTAATATATTTCTCACTGTTTTTCTTGAAATTTGCAGAAGTTGCTTGTTTTGTTGGGTAATTACTGTAAATACCGTGTGCATTTGTTTTATCCTCTACATGTCTATTGGTATCGTTTGACACAGGATACTTTAGTTTGTTTTCCGTCACATTGCTCAAAGTAAAATTGTTGTTGGGTTCCTTGATAATACTATTATTACGTCTGGTAACATTTAGTTGTTTCTTCAAGGATGTTAACATTAATTCTGAGTGCGTTTTTTTATTGTCTTGTTTTATATTGCACGGAGAAGTAATTATTCTTGGAATATTTGAGCTAATAATTGACCGAGTTTTGGACTTTTCAATGGGTATACTAGATTTTAAATTAGATCTATGAAAGTCGGAACGTCGCAAAAAATCCAAAACAAGAGAATTTGTATTGATAATCCGAGATTTTGGAAAAGTTTGAGGAGAAAATGATGATTTCGAGTTCTTTGTTCCTGTAGATGTCTTTTCCAAAGGAACATTCTGGATATTTCTCTTATTATATTCTATTTTCGTTGCCATCCCTTGTTTATCATCAGTTTTTATCGTGTCATCAAGTATCATTGCAACTTCCTCATCTTTTTTCAATTTAGGTATAGAATCAACAATATTACTCAGTTTACTTTGGCGATCCATAAGTTTATGAAACTCTAGTAAAAAGGCATTTAAAAAATTGGCCAAAAGATCTAAACAGACATCTTGACGGTACCCTATTGGGCTGTCGTTAACAAGCTTTGTCGGATCTTTGTAGGCTGAAAAATAAAAGCACCGCAAACTTAAAAACATGTACCATAGGTTACGTATGTGAAGAATTTCAGGCTATAACTAAGGACTAGGAGATGCCTAACATGAAAGATTGCAACAAATCACAGGGCGACCTTGTTGGGAGATAACGAAAACGATCAAGGAGGTAGGAGATTCAATTGAAGGGAGTGAAAAGAGTTAGATGGAGAAGGCTCCTAACAAGTAAGCAGCTGCAAAGATCGGCCCGTAGAACTAATAGTCGATAGATCTATTGGATGGGTTGCTCCAGGGGTAGCAACGTGTATGACAAGTGTCCAATTGCAAGTAGCTAACGGTTTCTACACCATAAATAAATGAAAATAAACTTGTACAACCTTTATTATACTCTTGATCTTCACCATCAATTTTAATATTGCTGTCTGTAATATTACTTGCTACTTTTGACACGATACCTTCGCTTTTCTTATGTATTATTTGGAAAGGAACATGTATTGGCTTGCTAGACGTCTTTCCAACTATTAAGGGTGATTTGAATGACGTTCTACGCAATACTTCTCGTCGTTGTGTAACTGTGCTTTGGTATTCTTTTCGTGGTCGTGATACTATATTCTGGTAATTATACAGTTTATCTCTCGACTTGCGTATTGGCACATGTCTTGAAGGTACATTTAATTTTCTGGAACGATCACGCCTAGACTGATCTTTTCTGTTTGCAGAAGAATGGGACACAGTTTCATCCATTCGTTTTAGAGATACTGTAACTGTTTCTTGATACTCGTTTAGCTCATCTTTGAATTTGCGTAAAGGAACATGCTGAGTAGATGCATTACTGTAAGATGGATATCTGGACAGTATATCTGTTGTCTTCGCTAAAGTACTATGCAGTGTTCCACTTATTTGTTTCTTTGATTCTGAAACAGGATCAGGATATTTTCCAAGGTAATCTTTGAATTTGTCTAAAACGACTTGCAAGGGAGATTTATGCGTGGAAAGTTTAGTTATACTTCTTGTAATATAACTAGATGGTACTTCATCAATTTTCTTTTGTGGTTCAGGAACTGTATCTTTTTTACGAGAACCATGTTTCAAAAATTCAGTTTTCCTCCTCGTAGGAGAAGTCGATGATGTTACATACGTTTTATTTTCTGCGTCTAGATAGATATCCTGATATTCACACACAACATCTTTGAATTTGCATAAAGACACCTTTGTGCCAGATTCTTGCCCTGAAAGTTCATGTTCACTTCTTGTAGGACAACTAAATAGTGATACGTTCATTTCCATTTCACGAACTTTATCATGCTGCTTACGTAGCTCATCTTTGAATTTGCATAAAGGCCCATCCCTATGAGAGTCACACTCTGAAAATTCAGTTTTACACCTCGAAGGAGAGGTAGATGACATTGCATACATTTTATTTTGTGGTTCAATGTGGTTTATGCAAGATTCTAGATTGGAAAATTCATTATCACTTATTGTGGGACAACTAGACAGTGGTTCATCCATTTCTTTTTGTGGTTCATTATCTGTATCGTGATGTTTATACAACTCATCTTCGAATTTGCACAGAGGGTCATGCCTAAAAGTATCACGCTTGGAAAGCTCATTTTTTCTACTTGTGAGAGAAGTAGACGATATTCTATACATTTGATTTTGTAGTTCCAGATCTGTACTTGGATAGTTAGGGACGGTATCTTTGAGCTTACTTACAGGCATATGTATGGCAAATTTATACCTGGAATCTGTACAAGAATTGGAGGATGTTGCTGTCCATTTGTCCACTTCTTTTCGTGGTTCTGTGGCCGTGTCCTGGTATTTACGCTGCTCTTTTTTCAATAGCTTACTTTTGGATTTGGGTAAAAGTACATGTCTCAGTGGTTTATAATTGGAAAGTCCACAATTAAAAGACTCTTTTACGCTTCTTGTAGGTGTATTAGATGATATTATATGTATGTATTTTTGTAGTTCCTTAATTGTGTCTTGGTACTTACGTCGATCTTTCTGTAATTTTTGTAAATATACATGTCTGGAAATCTCATTTCTAGAAAAAACATCTAAAGGTTTTCTTCCACTCGTTGCAAGAGAACTAGAGGCTTTATTATCAAATTCTAGCCCTGTGTCGTTGTCCCCACGCAACTTATCTTTGAACCCACTTAAAGGTACATCAGATACATATCCTGAAGTGTTATGTCTGGAAAATATGTTTCCCCTTCTTGCAGAAGATATTAACGGTCTTCTATTTATTTTTTTTCCTTCTGTAATAGTGTCTTGGTATTTATATTCGCCTGTATTGAATATATATATATTTACATGTTGGGAAGAAATATCCTGAGAAAGTTCCTTACCGCCCCTTGTAGAGGAAATAGATGGTTTTCCATTACTTTCTTTCTTTCGTGATTCTAAATCTGATGCGTGATATTTACGTAGTTCGTCATTAGGTAAATGTCTGGGAGATTCTTGTCTTGAAAGTTCATATTCGCTCTTTGTAGAAGAACTAGATGGTGTTTTATCCAAATTTTTTCGTGACTCTGTAATTAAATCCTGGGATTTGTTCAGATTTTTTTTCAATTTACGCAACTCATTAACGCATAAAATTGCATGGCTCGGTGATTCATGACTAGAATGCCCATGGCCAAGAGACTCATTTCCGCTTTTTATAAGTGAACTATAGGATGTTATATCGGTATGATTTTGTAGTTCTGTAATTGTGTCTTGATATTTATGCTGATCTTCTTTTGATTTTCGTAAATCTACATATTCGGGGGTGTTTCTGGAAAAAACATGAGAATATTCCCTTGGCCTCTTTGTAACCATTTTATTTCGTGATTCTAGGTCTGCGTCTTGAGTACGATGCAGTTCATTTTTTAATTTACGTAGAGGTACATATCCAGCAGATTCATGTCTCGGAAGCACGTGGCTAAAAGCTTTATTTTTCAATTTACGTAAAGGCACATATCCAGCAGATTCATGTCTGGGAAGCACGTGGCTAAAAGTTTTATTTCCACTTCTTGTAAGTGATATGGATGGTCTTCTATCTACTTCTTTTCGTGGTTCTTTAACAGTTCTTGGACGTTTATGTTGGTCTGTATTAAACACTAGTACATCTACATATCTGGGAGTCTCGAGTTTGGAACAAACATCGCGAGTATGTTCCTTTCTGCTATTTGTACGCGAACCCGATGGTTTTCCATTACTTCCTTTTCGTAGTTCCAGATCTGTTCCTTTATTGCGCAGTTTATCTTTAACTTTGCACTTTGTTGTTGCACTTTGTACATGTTTGGAGAATTCTTGTGTGGAAAGAACACGACTGAAAAGTTTATCACCGCTCCGTTTGTGTGTTTGTAGATATTCAAGCAGTTCAGCTTTAAATTTGCCTAATGAGATAGGTCCAGAAGGTGCATTTGTGGAAAGTTTATTTTCAGCCGTTGCATGAGACCTCAATGACTTACTAGCCCTTCCATTCAATGGCTCTGGTACTGTAACTTTGTATTTACGAGGCTCTTCTCTGAAAGTGCGTTTACTGTTGGTTTTTTCTACAATGCTGACTCGACCACGAACTATTTTTGATGAGCCATCTTTAAGGCCTTGACATTTCAGTTCGTCTTCGAACCTATTAATAGAATGTCTTTCTACGTTGTGTGAAAATTCCTTAACGTCGTTAATAATATTTTCCAGATTCGGTGTTTTTTTATGTTCCCTCATGTTAGCGATTTGGTCTTCGTTTAGAATTTCTTCTCTTTGTCGTTTGTTTTGTAGATTCTGGACGGATATGTATTCGGTTGAGAAATCTGTGCCGACATTGTAAGCATCGTTTGACATTAATAAAATGGGTTTGCGTCCTTGAAGGGTTAATTTACTTGTTTCTATGTAATGGTTGCTTGCTGAAAAAAGATAAAAAGGCTTACAAAATAACTTATGATATCGATATCAATTTGTTTTTGGGAGTATTAGCGCTAGTATTAGGGCGCTTTCAAACGAGACGCTTAAAAAAGCGCTGCAGCGTTTCGATTATGTTACAGTTCACTAATTGTGACTGCAAAAATGGCGCGCGCGTGTAACGACAGGTGGCGCTGCAACTGCGTCTCTAAATGTTGTATGAAAATTATTAGCGCCACAGCACCACTGCAGTGCTTTTATAAGCGTTTAATTTGGAGGCATCCTTAATTTGAGGCGTGCTATTCTAATAATTTTACCCACCGCCTTTCAAGAGCCGTGGGTTCAGGAATTTACAGAATTTACGTAATTACCTATAGAAACAAAATTACAAAATTATTTTTTGAGACAGTAATTGCGGCAAATAATACATAGAAAATAATAAAATTTGTCGCCAATGTACTGAAATCTCAATAAATAATATGCATATTCAAATATAATCAGTTCCGAGAAGTCCCGCGATTTGTCGAAGGGAATGTCCACATTATTCTTTAGTCTAGCTAAATTAACTCCATCAATGCCGATCACTGCTTATTATAACGTGAATGTATTCTTTAAAATTTGTTATTAACTTTGGAACTAAACACAAACCTTTAAGTCTACAGTCGTTGTATAAATCACACTCTGATACAAAAGCAGAAGATTGAATACATGTCTTCATTTTCAATGTTTCTATCAACGCCCTTGTCAAATCTTTTATTGTTATGTCCAAATTATTTGTATTTTCTTCTTCGTCACACTGCTTTGAGGCAAACGAATTCAATGTCATCGATATTCCTCTCATTACATTTTTAATATTTTGTTTATCAGCTTCGATTACTGCTTCAGAGGCCGATGTTGTTGTTTCCGGTTTTCCTATTTCTACATTTTCAATTTCTTCGTTATAATTTTGGATTACTTCTAAAGAGGCCGATGTTGTTGTTTCCGGTCTTTCTTTCTTTACATTTTCAACTTCTTGTTTATCATTTTGGGTCAATGCTGACGAGCCCGATATTGACGAGGCCGATGTTGGCGAGGCCGATGATGTTGCTTCCGGGTTTTCTTTACTAACATTTTTTATTTTTTGTTTATCACTTCGGACTAATGCTAACGAACCCGGTTTTGTTGCTTCCGGTTTTTCTTTCTTTTCCTTAATAACCTGTAAAGAAATATAAAGCAAAAAAATAAAATTATGTGGGCTCACTACAAATTGCTTATCGGTACGCATACCGATAAAATCAGTCTGATGGCTCACCTGATGTCAAATAAGCTGTTTATTAGATAAACAACAAAACCACACCAAGTTTGCCTACCACGGTTTCTGCACCGTAAAAAATTTTTCTTAGCTTAACAACCTATGCATTATTATTACATATTAGACATAACTGGTTGAAGACTGTACCACCTCAGTCAACCGTGACCATGGGACCTGTAAAGGGCCCGAAACGTCGGTTTGTTTGAAAAAACAAATATACGCGATTTAAATCCGGAAAAATAGTTTCATTTCCTATTAACAACCTATTTATTGCACGTGTAAATTCTCATAAAAGATAGCCCGTGGCGTGCACCTCATGCAGGCAAATAGGCACTGCCTACCCTAGTAATAAGTAAACTCATAATACCGCGTGCGTTCGCATTATGTCATGACGACAGATAGTCGTGCAGTTTACAGTGTCGTGGCTTGTATATTTAAATGAACTTGACGGCCTCTACGGTCCCGGGTTCGATCCCCGGCCGGGCCATTGTAGAAACTAACTTTTCTATATTGTCTAGTGTCTGGGTGTTTGTGGTACCGTCGTGGTTCTCGATTTCTATAACACAATTGCTTTAGCTACTTACTTTGGGATTAGAGCAACGTAACATAATACAGGAAAAGAAGTTGTTCACATATAGTACGACACGATTAATTGTCGTTACGACGACAGACTGTCGTGACAATGGGAAGAGTTAGGCGATTAACACACTGCACCGCGCCCCGCGACGGTGTGCGGGACGCGGGCAGCGAGCAGCTGTCTGGCGGCACCGTGCCACTTAAAGTAGTCGCTTCGTAGTTGATCGCCTTAGTGATTGTTCAGTCATGTAGCTGAGATCCTTCTTTGACAAGAATGGTTAATAATACAGAACTCATTCAGGACGCTGCAGTTATACCTACTGTCGATTTGGTTTTTGTTTGCTCAAATAAAAAGACATTGAAGATATTGGATACATTCCTTTTTACGAACCAGAACGATAAATGGATAATTTCAACTCCATTATAAAGATTTAAGAAAATATGAAGATAAATTTGGTCGATTTTCAATAGCAAATATAAATTTATCGATGTCGAGATCTCTTGTAGGAAACTGAACATGTCCTTAAGCTTAAAAATCTGCGCGGTAGTGCGGAGCGCAGTGTGCCATAACCCTGCGGTTCGCCGCACCCTCCGCGCGGGGGCGCGGTAATACCGCGTGCAGAGAAGCGTTGTAAGGGTCGTATTCTAGAAGTCTACTCAATACTCAAGTCAGGATTGCAATGGAACCACAAGCACTGGAAATACGACCCTAATGGCAGACCCATACTCAAATCCTGACTTGAGCATTGAGTAGAGTTCCAGGATACGACCCTTAGTGTGTTCGACGGCGCGTGTTTTCCATACAAACTGAGGTATTTCAGTACAACGTTAAAAAACGCAGCTCCGCGCTCCGTCGCGGGGCGCGGTGCAGTGTGATAATCGCCTTAGAACGACAGTCGTCGGACGACCAATAAAGCGTCACGATAAAAACGTGACGACAGATAGTCGCAACTTTGGGGTTGTAAATGTTTTTTGCACAGTTAACCAACTATTTGGTACCAAATATGTCAGGATTCGTTAAGATGCACACAGCACTCTGAAATCTCAACATATTTGTCTTATTTCTCAGAAACTAACCAGCAGATCGAGCTGGAGTTTCCTTTACTTTAGAGTACTATTAAGGTACAAATGGAATAAGAAGTTTTTATAGCTATTAAATAAATATTGGTAATCCGAGGTTGGTACCTTTGATATTGCTTTAACTTCGCTCTGATGGAGGTACAATTTTTTTAAATAGAGGTACTAAATAGTACATTTTTTGATACCAAATTTGTCAGGATCCGTGAAGGTACACCCGCCATTCTGACTCTCGCGTTCATAAGGAAATTTAAAAAAAAATCAAGTTTCTAACGATTGTTTTTCGAAAGAATCTTTTGGCCCTGAAACTTTGGACAATTTATTACGTTTTGAATTTTAGAAAATAGTTTTTGTTAGTTTATTATTTTTAAAGACAGTCAATAAGCGTTTTTATGTCAGTTTAAAACAAATTAAGAAGTTTTGATTACTTTACTTCACATTTCTATATTTTTTAGAAATATTGTATTTTAATAAGTATCGTTGCCAGTGACGATAAAATTTCTTATTTAATTTTATTGTAGATCTAGAACAAATAGAAAAATAGACTTAAACACATTGACTTACAATTATATAGACGTCGGGTCCGCGCTAAAAAGTGTCCGAACTTATAGGGCGTTAAAATCGTATACAGAGTGTCATTCATGCTTTAGTCTTCGTTTGGTCGGCTGACAGCGAAGCAAGCAAAATTAGACAGTACTGCGATGATATTACACTTTAAATTCAACGTTTTAGCTTTTTCACATTCCTTTACATGTCACTACTACGTTTAAATAGGTTGACTTGGGACATTTTTTTCGTGGTTTTTGTATTAGACCCGTCGTTCATTTATTTGTAAATCAATGCTTAAACATATAAGATCGACCCCTGTCTATACGCATTTACAATCGCCTTTCTCTTTCAAATGTGTCTATAAAGAGATTGATTAGGATTATGAATGATATCACTTTATACTTTTGATTTAAATAAATTACAAATAGACAAAAACTTTGAACATTTTTGATACAAGTTAAATTGTATAAAATATGAAATCTTTCTTTTCAAAAGAAGGTTCGTGTAGATTAATACATCATTTATTATATTAGACATACAAACATACAAACATCTTTGCATTGTGGCGATTTTAAAGACTTGTAGTTTTAATCACGATGTGATTTATTTTAATTCCGTCGTGTATAATGATATAACTACAATACAATCAGTATTCACAATAGCAAATTAATGAAAGCTCTATGTTTTTAATAATTCATGAAGTTGTAATTCTTTACACTTAGAATTTAAACGTGACGTACGAAATTGAATATGTGCGTGTAAATTTATATCACATTACACAAAAACTAGTTACATTTTCTAGAAAAGGGTGACTTATATCATTACAGACGAAAATTATCTTCGCTTCTACAGCAGATAGAGTAGAAGTGATCAGATAGAAAGATGCATCATTTTACACAAATGACGAATCATCAAAAAAACGAATATTAATACAAATGGAGTTAGCGCGTTTTTCACGGAGAATACCGTTCCATTGCACCATTTCCGGGAACGTACGACACGACAAGTTGGCACGTCAAAATAAGTAAAATATTCAATGAATATGATGATAGTATTTTTATGTATTATGTGTATGTATGCGTATTTTTATATATATCTCACGTACTAGTTTATATATATTTATATTTTTTATTTAGTATTTATGTAATTTAATGTTTTGTAGCCCACACAACTACTATTTTCGTCACGTTTTATTTATCATTGAGTTCTGTTTCCGTCTCCCTCTCTCGTACCCCGCGCCCTTGGCTCGCGTTGGGTCGTAGCCAGAGATGAGCAAGCATCCGGGCTTTAACCCCCGCCGTTACGCTTTGTTAACGCCGGGTTTAGATCGAGTTAAAACCCATTTATGCCCGAAATCAACGGCAAAAACTATTTACAACGAAATATTGTGAATTGAGGTTTGTTCAAATTTAATTATACATATTATTACAAAATATTACATTCTTAAATAATCCCAAAATTTTCTCTCATCACTTCTCATTTAATTTATAAACGTTTGACATAATCCTAATGGAATTTTAATAACATTAGATATACCCAAAACTTTCTTTTGCTTCGTCTTCCGCCTTTTTAAAAAGAAATACATTATTATAATTTCGTCTTCGCCCATTTCACACGCGAGCGAACACACACTACTGGCTTCCAATAGAACATAGAAGCGACTGCAGTGCATCAAACGACTCTGTCGTGCAAACGATAAATTGTCGTCACGAAGTGGGACACGACAACCGTTGAGACATGGGAACAGGCTCGAAGCGACAGTCGTTCAACCATGAATAAAAAGTTACGACATAAGGGAACGCGAACTTAGGTGGAACGGAGGAACAACCTATGTGATTTTGGAACGTCGTTCATTCGTAAAAAGTCACGGTGATATTATTTGATGACTAATCACTGTGGTTTTTCATCGTGACTTTATTTATCACCCACCTCTAGTTTGAAATCACGGGCCCTAGGAACGCACCACTAGTAAACATTCAAAGTTGCGCAACATCAGAATTAGAGAATCATCATCTGTGCGAGTGCAGCCTAGAGGAAGGCAACTTGGAACACAATTTTTTAATTGCCCTAGTATATCTGTCCAGCGTCATAACTTACTATCCACAAAATTCCCCCGCCCCAGTAACATAAATAACCTCTTAACTTTAAATGTTTTTCCCCAGACATGTGCGACGTAGCGAGGCGGTGTGCGAGGAAAAAATACACAATAGGATTGCTTCATTTTTTTAGCCTTGCTTAGTGCAGCTCCGGTGGCAAAGGATTAGCGGAGCTAAGGATTTGTACATACAAAATGGCGAGAAATGTGTGCTAGGGATGCGGGCGAGGAACATGTGCAAAACGGTGTAGGAAACTAGAGCTACTGAAAGTATGATTTTAACTGACACATCGCCACCGCTCATCCCACCACACCGTACGCCGCCCATGCGTTGCTGACAAGAGTTCGTAACGCGTCCTCGCACAGCCTTGGTGGAACACATTACACCGTTTCACAGCGCCGCACCATCCATCCTCGCACCATCTCGCTACCTCGCACATCTCTGGTGGAAAGGCAGCCCCATTGTCTCAATACAACTCAATGGTTTTTTCTTTCTTTTTCTTCTTGCGACCTTGACATTGGCAAAATCATCATTTCATATAATGATGGAGCCCATTGATTTACAAATAAATGGACGACGGGTCTAATACAAAAACCACGAAAAAAA